CATGTCTTCCAAGTTGTTGAGTAGTTCACCTCTTAATTTCTTGCCACTTGGTAGCACAAGGGCCTACCATGTCTTCCAAGTTGTTGAGTAGCTCACCTTTACTGATCAATGAACCTTCACTGATCAAGCCGCTTTGCCTTATACAAACAATTGAGAACTCATAGAACTCACATGCATAGTCAACTTTAACTGGAATGGACACAGAAACAATAATATGTCAACACGATAGGTTATAAACCTTAAGTCGTGTGCTAGTGATAAACAATTGGTTTGATTCTTGATTAGTTATTGAAACTATTCAAGATCTTTAAGACTCCCACTAACCTCTTGACATATAAGATTCTCTTGTCAAGAACCATTCCTTGACAAATAAATATTCATCAGTTAGTGTGGATTCTTATCAAGAATAGCACTTCACACAATTGATCTTAGTTGATCTTTGTTTTATCCAAAACATTACAACTACCAATTTGAATGTGTAATATGAAGGGGTTTTAGCATTCTAACACTCCTATGGTGTACATGCAACCCTAGAAACCTTGGATCTATGTTTTCTCTATTCAACATGCAAATATGATTTCTCCAAAGTTCTCATCCTAACTAGCATATCATGGAGTACTTGTAATATAAAAACTAGTAGAATGACTTACCTTTTCTTGTGGTTGATTGTTTGGAGCTTTAAGAGCGTAGCACCAATAATGTGAATGCCTCAAGTGGAATCACAAATCACCCAAAACAACTTAGAAGACTTTGAGAGAATATGAAGCACTCTAGAAATCGACCCACCCTTGTTCTCACACACTAGTGCCATTTCAAGTGCCAAAGACCTCTTTATATAGTATGGTGGATTAGGGTTACATCCATGTAAACCCTAATACCCATGACCTTTCATTTGCATAGGATCCATGGGTTAAAAAACCCATGGACTATCCATGCAAGCTTAGCCCATCCTAAATGAACATTGGCCCATTCTATATAAGAGTCCATATTTAATTAGTTTCTTTTGATCACTACGTTAATTCCAAATTAATTCATGATCACTACTAATTAAATAATATGGTTTCATTTTAATATATTATAACTTATAATATATTAATAAATCATAAATATACTATTCTCAAAAGATTATCCATACAAATTGTTTTGGTGAAGTGCAACCTAAATGGACCATGTCGGGTCGGGTTAAGTACATACCAAATATAGTTACAGACTTAGACACCTTATCCAATAATCTCACACTTGGATAAGTCTGATAACTATACTTGCAAGTATGAATTCAGGAAATGACCAAAAATTGTAGCTCTTAAAACTCTGTTGAACTATGAAGTGCCATTTTAGATAAGTGATAATATAATCCCCTATTCTCAAGATATCAGTTGGAAAAATACATGGAACGACGTTGTACTTTTTGTCTAGCAGTTTGTTTCCCGATTTCCAATTTGTTTGACATAGAACTAAACTGAACACATCAATTTAGTTCTTACCGGGCCCGACACATAGGTCAAAACAAAATCATTGAGGGGCCCAGATATCGCTTCTAATCCTCCAAGGACTAAAGGAATAGATAAACTTCAACTCATATGCTTGTACTAACTACTTGTTGAATCATACACAAAGGCACATTTTATAACATCAAGTTACTGATGCGTTTTTGTGCAATCAATGTAACCAACTCATAGTCAACAACTCCCATATCTAGGTTTGAAGATGTATATGATATTACCTTCTCACAATCACTCGAGATAAATTCCATGAAGTGATACAAGTGAGCATGGGTTTAATCCAATACTCAGGACTTATGAGCACTCATGAATGTTGTAGCAACTTTTGCTATGTCTAACACCTTAGACATCTACAAGGCCAATTCATGACAGTACTGATTCATACATACTTCCAAAGTATGATTGACTGTGTAGAGTTTGAATAAAGTAATTATTCTGGAATTCAAAACATGTAAAGTTGAAACAGTAGTAAACGATCGACACAAGATAGTAACACCTTACTCATAATCAAACAACAACTTTTATTTAATCATCGAATGTCAATTACAATTAACAAGTTTCAGAAATAGCTATCTAATCAGTAAAACAAATATCTTCCTTCAGCCCGATGTGCCTCGCATGCTGCAAATGCCTAACCCTAGTCAGTCCCTTCGTGATGGGGTTTGCTAGGTTCTGTTCTGATGATACCCTCTTTGCTACCAGGAGTCCTTCTTCTATCTTGTGTCTTATGAAGTGATATTTTCTGTCAATGTGTCTGAATTTGCCATGATCTCTTGATTCCTTGGCTAAGGTAACCACACTATTACTATCATACAAAATCTACATAGGCTCCTTTATAGTTGGTACAACTCCAAGGTCTCCAATGAATTTCTTTAGCCATATCGCCTCCTTTGTCGCTTCACTCGTTGCTATGTACTCTGATTCACATGTTGAATCAACTACTGTCTCCTGCTTGGAAACTTTACAAGTAATCGCTCTTCCATTCAGGGTAAAGACCCAACCCGACTGAGAGTGGAAATTCTCTCTGTCGGTTTGAAAGCTGGTGTCACTATACCCTACTACTCTAAAGTCATCTCTCCCACCAAGAGTAAGGATCCAATCTTTAGTCCTTCGCAGGTACTTAAGAATGTTCATTACCTCAGTCTAGTGAGCCTTTCTAGGGTTCTCTTGATATCTGTTGAACATGCTCAAAGCAAAGGCCACGTCAGGGTCGGTACAAGTCATAGCATACATGATCGAGCCAAGATCGGAAGTATATGGTAATCGACTCATCTCAGCTATCTAAGCCTTAGTACTCGGACTCTGAGCCTTACTCAGTTTGGCATTGCTTTGGATCGGTAAATCACATTTCTTGGAATTCTGCATGTTAAACCTCTTCAACACCTTGTCCAAGTAGTTGCTTTGACTAAGTTCAATTAGTCTTTTACTCCTATCACTTGATATCCTTATTCCTAGGATATAAGCAGCTTCTCTAAGGTCTTTCATAGCGAAACACTTCTCAAGCCAGGACTTAATCTCCTGCAAATTTGGGATGTCATTTCCTATGAGTAATATGTCATCCACATACAGTACCAAAAAGCTAACAATACTCCCACTAGCTCTAACATATACATAGGACTCATCCTCGCTTCTCGAAAAACCAAACTCTTTAACTTTCTCATCAAAACAAAGATTCCAGCAACGAGACGCTTGTTTCAATCCATAAATGGATTTCTCATGCTTTCACACTCTGTCAGGGTACTTTGTATTGACAAAACCCTCTGGCTGACTCATGTAAACATCTTCAGCCAACTTTTCATTAAGGAAAGCAGTTTTGACATCCATTTTTCATATTTCATAATCATGAAATGAATCAATGGCTAGCATAACCCTAATAGACTTAATCTTCGCTACTGGTGAAAAGGCTTCATCATAGTCAACTCCCTGAGTTTGATTGAAGCCCTTCGCAACCAATCGTGCCTTATAAGTGTGCACTTTCCCATCTATGTCGTTCTTCTTTTTGAAGATCCATTTGCACCCAACTGTCTTACAACCCGATACATTATCAACCAAATTCCAAACTTGATTGTCATACATGGAATGAATACTACTATCCATAGCCTCTTTCTATTTAGCAGACCCAGGGCCTGCCATGACTTCCCTATAGCTGTTAGGTTCATCCAAATTTACTAGTTTACTATCACTGGTAAATGTATCACCTTCCGTAGTAATATGGAAACCATAATAATGCTCAAAAGGATTTGTAACTCTAGTGGAACGCCTCAGAGCTACAGACTCATCAATTGGCTCAACAGGAGTTCCCTCTTTAGGTTGATTGCTAGTGTCTGAGGTTCCTTCACCGCTTGAATCCTGAATCTCTTCAAGGTCAATTTGCTTCCCATTGTTTCCTTGGCTTATAAATTCTCTCTCACGAAAGACTCCTCTCCTTGCTACAAAGACCACATTCTCACTGGGTCTGTAGAAGAGGTAACCAAAGAATTTCTGTGGGTAGCCGATGAAAATACACCGCTCACTACGAGGATCGAGCTTATCATGAGTCTCGCGCCTCAAGAAAGCCTCGCAACTCCAAATCTTGATGTGGTCTGAAGTGGGAACTTTCCCAGTCTACATCTCGTGAGGTGTTTTGGTAACCTTCTTTGTAGGGACTAGATTAACGATATGAGTAGCAGTATCTAAGGCATACCCCCAAAATGAGATTGGTAACGAAGCTCGACTCATCATGGAACAAACCATGTCTAACAGGGTTCGATTGCGCCTCTCAGCCACACCATTAAGTTGTGGTGTCCTAGGAGGTGTCAATTGTGAAACAATTTCACACTCTTTAAGATAGTCAAGAAACTTTGTACTAAGATACTCTCCATCTCGATCGGATTGAAGCATCTTAATGTTCCTGCCCAATTGATTCTACACTTCTTGTTTAAACTCTATGAACTTTTCAAAGGTTTCTGACTTATGCTTGATTAAGTAGACATAACCATATCTAATGTAATCATCAGTAAAAATCACAGAGATGCGAATAGCATCCCTTGTGGCGGTTCTGAAGGGTCCACACACATCTGTGTGTATGAGGTCCAACAAACCTTCACCCCTAACACAAGTACCAGTAAAGGGTGACTTTGATATTTTTCAAAGCAAACAAGACTCACAACTATCATCCGACTTTAAGTTAAATGATTCCAAGACTCCAGGCTTTTGGAGTTGGCCTATGCGCTTCTTGTTAACATGTCCAAGACGAAAATGCCACAAGGATGCTTTGTCCAAACTAGTGGAAGAATTAATATGCAATACATTATTTCCTAAGTGGTCTACAACCGATACAATTTCATATACACCATCACAAGGTACTGCTTTAAAATAAAGAACATTATTATAAAAAGCATTAATACCACCACATTCATTATCAAATGAAAAAGTAAATCCTTGTTTGTACAAACCGTGTGTCACACCCCCGGCCGAGGCGCGGAATACGCCGGGCTGTGCGACTTAGTTCATGGATCCCAAGCAAATTGAATATACATCACAAGTTACAACAATAATAACATAGCAGTTACATTCAAATTTAAAGTTCAAATACAAGTTTCATACATATATTAATAGGTTCATAAATTCACCTTAACAAGTAGGTCAACATAACAAAAACTAAATAAGACTAGATTGCCCGAGAATCCATGAACAAATCTTCTGTTAAACGCTGGTTTACTGATCTCCTGAGAATACATGTGATTTGAGGGTCAACACAAAGGTTGGTGAGAGTTACAGGTTTTCTGCTAACCGCAGTAAATATACTTTATAAGTCTAGAAAGTATTTCTTTTATGGTTAAAACCATGTTTAATAAAGAGTTAAATCACAAATATATCTATACTTGAAATATTTGTTAAAGAGATAAATCATAAGTATATCCATACTTTAAATGCTTGATAAATAGATAAACCATAGATAAATCCATACTTGAAATGCTTGGTAAAGAGTTAAACGATAAGTAAATTCATACTTAAAATGCTTGATAAAGAGTTAAACCATAAGTAAACCCATACTTCAAGTGCTTGATAAAGAGTTAAACCATAAGTAAACCCATACTTAAAATGCTTGATAAAGAGTTAAACCATAAGTAAATCCATACATAAAATGCTTGATAAAGAGTTATACCATAAGTAAGTCCATACATAAAATGCTTGATAGAGAGTTATACCATAAGTAAGTCCATACATAAAATGCTTGATAGAGAGTTATACCATAAGTAAGTCCATACTTAAAATGCTTGATAGAGAGTTATACCATAAGTAAGTCCATACTTAAAATGCTTGATACACAGAGAAACCGAATCCATGGTTTCTAGTTAAAGAGTCTTGTTAATGCCTATAGTGAGTCCTATAACCGAGCTATGTGACTAGTTATAATCCCTGCACGATGCTTCATTAGACGTCGTAGTTATACTAAAGATAAATATGCACCTGCTTCGATTGATCAGTCGAGGTTGTAGCTAGCAACCGCAGGTGGGGGTGTCAACCCGTATAGATCTATACATACGTATCTCGCTCCGAGGATTAACGGTTATAGTTGAATGGGAATACTAAGTGTTTAAACGTAGGTAATGAATACTATCTCACTATAAAGGCCATTAACTAGGTTATACGGTAAAGTTTCACTATAAAAGTTGAATAAGATCAATAAATCCGTAAAAATGTATGTCACTCGCTTAAATAGATAAAATGCTTCTTCACATGCATGAATTATTTCTAAGATATAATTGTTATAAATTGTACATATATAATTGACAAATATGTTTGTACATGCTCGATGTAAGTGAAATAAATTATGCACATGACTAAATATTTTTAAACGCATGTATATTGTAAATAAACCAGTTTATAATACATTATTTTGACAATAATAAGTATTAAAACTAGATATATATTTTTTTATATGCGTATTCCATAACCGATATATATATATATATATATTTAGCATGTTTATAAACACATTTCATAACCGGAAAATATATTTATATATATTTCACATGTATTCCCCCCCAAAATAATAAAACATAAAAAGGGGCTGTAACACTCACCCTTGAAGCGTGAACGGGGTTCGAGAGTGAATCCGTCGTGAATATCGTTCTGTGATGTTTTATGCCCTTAAAACGAATGATCGGGTCTATTTATATTACCTAATAAACCAAAAAGGGTAGTTTTGGTATTAATTATTAAGTATAGGGTGGTCTTTGATAAAGTAAATAAATTCTACGGATTTATTTTGTTAAAATTATTCAACGAGGGACTTTTCTTGTAATATTTTTGCATGGCAGGGACTAAAGTGCGCATTCTCAGCATAAGTTACGATTTCAGGCTTATGTTGTTAATATTTTTCGAAGAGAGGGACTGTTATTGTCATTTTACTTGGCAGTTTGACCTAAATGGTGAACTATTTTCAAGAAGGGGACTTAGTTTGTAAAATTAACAAACCTAAGGGTTTAAATTAAATATGTCAAAAACTTCTAGGGTCATATTTAATTAAAATGATTCAAAGTTTGAACAATTTGTCGTCGTTTAAGTTACGTGACATTTGCAGGTGACTCCAATCAGTGGAGTATGAGATCGGACGAACACGAGACCCCTTTGTTGGGTCTCTTGGCACCAATTTCAGTCGTCCACGGTCTCGACATAGGAAGAATTAAGTGAGGGTGGCGGTGGCTTACCGGTGATAGCAGAATCGGCGGAGAATGGTGATGATGACGGAGGTTGACGATGGCGGTGGCCTGTGGCAACGTTTGGCGGCAGTAGGCGGCGATGGAAGCTTCCCTGCGTTTGCTTTCCTGTTCCGAAGGTTTTGACGAGAGGGAAGGAACGCCAGGTGGTTTCAGGTGGTAGCTGCCGGTATGGAGGCATTCCAATAGTCAAAGCGGTGGTTGGAGGTGAAATGGGTTTTGACAACGGTGGATGGTTACGGACCTGCAGTGGCAGCTTCACTGCCTTCGTTTCCTTTCTTTTCAGGCGAGCTCGACGAGAGACCAGGCAGTGAGGTGCAAGCTTATGGTCGGAATGACATGGGGAGGTGGAGGAGCTACCACAGTCGACAGTGGTGGCTCTCTTCGCCTGGGAAGAGAGAAAGTGACAAAGGAAGGTGGTGTTGGGTTGTGTCTGATGGCTTACTCCGATCAGTGACAAGATACGGGGAACCACTATGGTTCTCGGTGGTTACATGGTTACACAGTCACAAGCGAAGCAACTAAAAGCATTAGTAGACGTAGAGAGGTTTGTGGGTGGCTGAACTTTTCTTATCAATGAAGGGAAGGACAGCCCAATGTTTTCACCATTTACGTATGGTACTTTCTGATCCGGAAGAAAGTAAACTTGGTGTTTTTCTCATTTTGAAAGTTTGACTTTTGAGAGGGAGACACGTAAATTGGTTGTCTATTTGTTCGTTATTATTATATTTGTTTAGTTTATTTTATTTTTGACCAAAATATAATATCTCATTAAATTTTAAAAATGGATCTAGTTTCATGTGTCCAATTCTCGATATCGGGTAATTTCTTGATAGCGTCGATCGATAGATTTTAATTCTAGGATTCTAAAAACCTGGAAGGATAAATTTTTCGAGTTGTAGAACTCTCGGAATTGGCGTTTAAAGTTTTGCGTCTAATTGGTCTAAAACGTTTGATTTTTCTAACTTTTACAAATATTTCTACTAAAATTATTTCGAGTGGTGAATAAAATAGCAGAACATAATCCGGGTCCAAAAATGCTCTCAGAATTTCTATCTGAGGTGGGCAAGTACCTCTATGGATCAATACAGTTTTTAAAGTCAGATAAAGTCAATGTTATACCAGTTTGGTTTCTTAAAACGATCATATCTTTTACATATTAACTTCGCTTTGGACATTCTTTATATATCCGCGATCAGGGAAACATGTACTACGAGCCTAGAATATTTTCTTTGTTTACAGGCACTTGATACAAATTTTTAGTTTTTCAGTCGTTAACCAAAGTTACAGTTTGTGCTTTACGTTTCGTTTGACATTTTCCATAATTTGAGATAAGATACCATTTCATATCTTATTTTATTTGGAATGACATTATAATTCTGCTAAAATATGCATTAAAATTCAATTGGTCAATATACAAAAGGTCTGCGGTGATCTGACGGTTTATAGATTAAGCCCTAAATTCTGGGATGTCACATTACCTCCCCGTTAAAGGAATTTCGTCCTGAAATTATCTTGTTCCTACAACTATTTCGTTCCACTAGTGGAGGTATCACCGTCGAACAGTCGTGGGTACTTGTGTTTCATTTGGTGTTCACGTTCCCAACTAACTATGGGTCTCTACGATAGTTCCGTTGGACTTTTACTATAGGTGTGTGGCCTTTAACCTTTCCTTGATCTGAACGATCATTTGCGTGGTTTGTTGAGTGACCTCGAGGCCAATACATAAAGTATCTCCAACATGCTTTCTAGCTAGTTGGATATCTCCAACTTTTGTCTAGCATGACGGAAAATGACATTTCCATCCATACAAGACGTTGAATAGGGGAGCTTTTATGCTAGTATGATAACTATCATGGTATGAAAACTCGACTAGCGATAAATGAATATCCTATGTCGTACCAAAGTCTATTATACAAGCATGGAGCATGAATTCTAGAGTTTGTGTCATCTTTTCACTATGCCCATCTATTTGAGGATCATATGCAGTACTCACATCTGGTTTGGTTCCTAGATGTCTCTGCAACGATTGCCAAAACCTGAAAGCAAATTTGCTATCTCAGTCCTGAGATAATGGACGCTAGTACTCCGTGCAGTCTGACTACTTACTTGATGTAGGTCCTAGCGAGTTTCTCCATTTTGTCAGTTTCTTCAATGACTAGAAATTAAGCAGACTTTGTTAGACGATCGACCATTACCCAAGTGGTGTCATAACCGCTTGAAGTCTTCAACCACTTCGTTATAAAGCCCATGGCTATCTGTTCCAATTTCCAATTCCAGAACCGATGCTTGTTCTAGTAATCCTGATGGCTTCTTGTACTGTGCTTTGACTTTGGCACAAGTCAAGCATTTATCGACATACATGTCAATCCCTGCCTTCATGTTAGGCCACCAATAAAGCTTCTTCAGATCTAGATACATCTTGTCAGATCCCGAGATTTATCGATATCTCGACTTAGGAGCTTCGTTTAAAACTAGGTTCCTGACTTCACTAAACCTCGGTCTCCAAATTCGATTCATGAAATATCGTGTTTCATCTACCTAGATGTCGAACTGTTTACACATACCCCGTAGGTTTTCTTCCATGATATTTTGGGGTCTGGGGTATTCTAGTTAAGCATCTCAAATTTGGGTAACAAGATTGGAGTGGATTGTTCGGGTTAGAGCCTTCTCGTGAAGTGGTTTTGCTCGTTTTCTCTTATTCAAAGCATCTGCTACGACATTTTCTTTATCAAGATGATGACAAATTTCGCATTCGTAATCATTTAGCAATTCTACCCACCTTCGTTGACTCTCGGTGAGCTCCTTCTGATGGAAGATGTGTTGTAGGCCTTTGTATTTGGTGGACACGGTACTCTTCATTCTGTATAGGTAGTGCCTTAAAATCTTTAAGGCAGACACTACAACTCCTAATTCCAGGTTATGGGTAGAGTAGTTTGTCTCGTTTGGCTTAAGTTTTTGGATGCGTATACAATGGCTTCATTCCTTTGCATCAACATGTATCCTAATCCTTAGCAAGGAGCATTGCAGAGTACTACCAAGTCTTCCGTTCCCTATGGGGAAAGGTGGTATCGGTGCACTGCACGATGATTGTTTTAATCTCTGGAAGGCAGACCCTTGATTGTCTCCCAATCGGATTTCTTTTCTGTATTGGTTAGAGAAGTTGGAGGCTTGGCTATTTTAGAGAAATTCTCGATGAATCTCTGGTAATAGCCCATAAGCCTTAATAATTAGCGTACTTCTGTTGATGTCATTGGTTCTTTCCAATCCGTATTTGCTTCAATCCTTACAGGTTCACTATGAATTCCTTTTCTATTGACCACATGATCAATTAAATGCTCCTCGTTGATACATAATTCGCATTCTGAGAACCTTGCATAAGGTTTCTCCTTCCTTAGTAGTTTCCAGAATCAAATGCAAGTGCTAGCCATATTATTCCTTGGTTCGAGAATATATTAAAAATGTAGTCAATAAAGGCGATCACGAACATGTGCAAATGGGGCTTGCAAACTCCGCTCATAAGTTCCATGAATATTATCGGTGCACGGGTCAACCCAAAGGGCATCACCAGGGACTCGTAGTGACTGTACTAGGTCATGAATGTCGTTTTGGGGGTGTCTTCTTCTTGTACTCAGAGTTGAGGAATATCGAATCTTAGTTTGATCTTCCAAGTGGTAGCGAGATCCTTGCAACTGGTCGAATAGGTCATCGATCCTCGAGAGTGGGTATCAGTTCAACTCACATATCCTGAACGATTCATCCTTCTTTTTGACAAGCAACATCGGAGCACTCCATGGTGAGGAGCTTGGCCGGATAAATCCTTTGTCAATTAGTTCTTGGAGTTGGTCGGACAGTTCTTGCATTTTTTATGGAGCCAAGCAATAAGGAGGTCTTGCCATTAGCGCTACACCCGAGGTTAAGTCAATTTGGAATTCGACCTGCTTGACTAAGGGTAGTCCCGGTAGATCCTCTAGGAATATGCCTGGGTAATCGCAAACTTGTGGAATATCTTTGATTTCCTTACCCTTGTCTTGCTTATCTATCATGTGGGCCAAGAAAGCGAAGCATCTTTTTCTATAAGCACTTTCTCGCCTTCATGCAAGAAATGACCCTTAGGTTCTTCCTTTATTTATCTTTGTAAATCACAAGGGTTTCGTGGTTGGGTGGAGGTAGTCGAATGTCTTTCCCATAGTATATAACTTTGGCTCGGAGAGGCGATAATTAGTCCATTCTGATAAACTCATCGAAACTTCCAATGGTCATGGGTATAAGGTTGATGGGAAAGACGTGGTTATTCAAGGTGAGATGGCAATTGGAAAGTATTCCTAAGATGCCTTCTACTTTTCGTTGCAGGATTCACGGTTTAGTATGATTCTAAACTTATAGTCAATGAAGCTTCCATCGATACTAGTATCAGATAGCAGATATGCATGAATTTCGATGACAGGAAATGTACTAATAACAATTTTGTTATAAACGAGCACGTATGAGTCGTATTATATGATAACATACTCGTTCCTGAAATCCTATAGATTTCCTATTGATAGAGAGAGCGGTCGATTTCCGAAATCCTACATGTTTCTAATTGTTAGAGAGAGAGTTGAAATCCTACCGTTTTCAAATAAGGGGGAGAGAATTGAAATTTTACCGATTTCAAATGATAGAGTGAGAACTGTTACTATTTACGACCTTTAAAACACTCGATAGCATAAATGCTTGTATTTCAGTTACATATTGCTACACCCAGTTTCCAAACATGAATGGGATTAGAAATGGGAAAGCTACATCCCTTATCATGACAATAGAAGTATTCAACTTCTTTCAGGTTGGAAGAGGGAGTGACAGAACCACCTTTGGTTCCACTCGAAGAGGAGCCATCAAGAGACTTTCCCTTGGTACCCTTCGAAGGGGTCTTCCTCTTTTTCCCTTTACGTTGCCCGATTGCCAGAACAAGGGCGGTGTTAGAAGTAGAAGTGGTAACAACTGATTTACCTTTGAGACCACTTTCGGCGGTCTTCAAAATTCCTTGAAGCTTGTTGAATGTGACCTCCTTCATGTTCATATGATAGGTCATTCAGAACTGATCATAACAAATAGGTAAAGAGTGCAGTATGATGCCAATAGCCAACTCCTCAGGGAATTTCACATTCAACTTCAAAAAATGGTCCACAAACCTTTGTATTATCTGAATGTGGCCCGTGATGGATTCATCATCGTTCATTCGGGTTGTTATCATGGAAGAGATGATTTCATACCCTTTTTGACGAGCACTCTGATGGTATCTATCCATCAGGTCCATGTGCCTCTGAAAAGGGTAAAAGTCCTCATAGGACTTTTAGAGTTCAGCTGTCATTGTGGCCAACATGATACATGCCACCTTGGTGGCATCTCTCTCATGAGTCCTAAAGTCAGCGATCTCCTGTGGAGTAGTAGACGACTCATCAATTTCCTTCAGCTCCTTGTCGATGACATATTCCTTGTCCTCGTAACGCGTGACCATCTTGATGTCCCTGATCCAATCATTAAAGTTTGAACCATCAAAGATCACTCTCCCACAAAGATTCATGAGAGAAAAGGAGTCGGTAGGGTTTGAGCCATAAACATTGTTAGAAGACATCTGAAAAGAAGAAAGACAAGTTTAGATTAGATAAAGAGTCTTTAG